AGAAATTGAATTTATGGCTTAACTTGTCCTTTACTTTGAGTTTTATGCACAGATCAAAGTCCAATCCAAAATCCAAGGGTTGTATTAAGTACAACATACTGGCATAAAAAATAGACCTGTTTAAATCCTTCAGCTGCAGACAGGAGTTTGTCCTGCAGCCTTAGTTGTTGTTTTGTTTTTTTTTATATCATGTAAAGAAAAAGTGGTGATGGTAAATAAGAGGCGGGTTAAGTTAAACTAACGTTGATTTTATTCTTTCCTGATTCAGGTGGAGACCTTCTCTGGTGTCTACAAGAAGCTCACAGGCAAAGACGTTGTGTTTGAATTCCCAGAATTCCAGCTGTAAATGCAGATGACAAAATAAAATTTGTTTACTGTCACTACCGTTGCAGGTTGTGGTCTTTGATTTCCTTCTCAGAGGGCACGTTGGAGACCAGCGGAGCACTATTAAGCTTTTCAAACGATATGTCAATTATTAATAACCTGTCAGTATGTGGGAGCAAAATCTTCAGCCCTGTTGAAAATCCATGCAAACAGGATTTTATTTTGATTGGCACACTATTCGCAAAAGCTCAGATCATACCATTACTGGAAAGAAGGGTGGGTGGCTGACCGAAGACGGTGAATGTAGTGATACAGGCCAGGTACACAGATCGGAGCCCAGATTTAAATGCTAGCCTGTCCGGGAGGGGGAACGGGCGAAAACATAAAATCTGCATCATCTGGCTGCATTTCATTATTATTTAAGAATAATTACACCCATTTTTATGTTGATCCATTTTTCATTGTGGAGGACAGGAGATTTCAAACTTGTCCAGGTCTTACACTTTGAGTTCTCAAGTAGTCGTAAATGACTTAAACTAAGGCTTTTTATGAAAACTAAATACAAATAGCTTCTTTGAATTACAGTTTAGTTTGTATATAGTTTTATATTCAAAAAAGTGTATTTGAATGGCAGACATGTGTGCATGTTTACAGAGCTTTGGCTCAATGTCTAAATGAGTCGTACAGGCCTGAATGTGCACTTGAAGCCATTTACAATGAACCTATTTGATCTGCTGCTCACCACAAGAGGTTTTGGAGTTTAGTATTTTCAGCTTTACAGCTTTTCCTACAGATTAAAACCTCCCTCCGTTCATACTGCAAAGTAATTAAAAGGAAAACCTTTTTTTTTTTTTCCAATGAAAAGAACTTATACACATCATACACACACTTTATAAATACAATGTTGCCCCTGCGTGCATTTTACCTGTGGCCCTCAATCATAAACAGGATTCCAACATTGGTTGTTTTTAATCTGATGACATCTAGAGGCCAAATCCAGGAGTTTTAATAACGCGTGTTGTTGGAGCCTCAACCTCCTAAC